GGGGGGGGGGGGGGGGGGGGGGGGGGGGGGGGGGGGGGGGGGGGGGGGGGGCGTATTCGTGTTGTGCATGGGTACCGTATGACACAAGATAACACACCCCCTGGACCGATTTTCAAAGCTCGATTACTCCACGACGAAGAGGATGCATAAAGGAAACGATACACTTTTGGAAAGCTCTCGACGAGACGGTTCCAACGCCGCCGTTTTCGGCGCCGTGACTCTTTCTGTTGTTGAGAAATCGCGATTTGAACATCGGTCCAGGGGGTGTGTTATCTTGTGTCATTTGCGGTAAGTTGTTAGACCATTGGCCACGGTTCCTCGAGAGGACCGAGTGGACGGAGAGGGGGTGGGGGGTACTCGTGCATTGACGTCAAAGTTGTATAGAGCATTGACCACGCGTCCTCTTGAGGACAGATCATTGTTTCCACAGGACTCAAGGTCAATTGTTCCTTCCTACTTCGCCACAAGGTGCCAAAATAAAATTCCTTATCCTATCTATCCTTTCGAGACCACTTCCCGCCTTTTCAGAAGGGGAGGGAGGCGAGGGTGATACTGCTGTTGCTTGATTGAGTTCCATGACCAGAATTGATCACGCTCCGTGCGTGTGCACGCATGTCCTTCAAGTGACTCTCACCATCACGTACGCCCTGTTCCCGTCGGTAACAGCCCCAAACTGAGAAATCCCTGACAAAGTCCCGCCCCCATCTTGCCTGCGCATCTCTCCACCAAAACCGACGCATCACCTTTTTCTATGCATACCTTTTCCCGTTGGCGACAGAGTCGAAAATCACCGTCGTGGCACCTCCGATAACACCCATTCCCCCCCCCGGCCCGAGCGCCTCCACCAGCCTGGAGACCATGGACGTTGTCGACAAACAAGCGTCGTGAGAGGGAGAACAAAAGAACGTTGGCGGCATTTCAAGGCACACAACTACCAACAGCAGTTAATTGACTCAAGCGTAGATGGCCTTTTGTGCGCCTGCGAGGCGACCCACCAAAGAGAAAACTCTCCCCTCCCACGGCCACTACCCAGAGCGCAAAAGAACCACAGCACACACGCCCTGTGCCACCATCTCGTGCCACCACCGCAGCCACCAACACCAACAAAACCACCATAACATTCCCTCCCTACCTACCCCATCACCCCTACCGCCGCCGCCACAGCCACCGCCACCGCCACCGCCACCGCTACCATCACCAACAAGTCCACCACGACACCATTCCTACCAACACCCCCCCCCATCGCCACCCTCGCTACCGCCGCCGTCCACCACCTCNCCCCCCCCCCCCCCCCCCGCCCCCCCCCCCCCCCCCCCCCCCCCCCCCCAACAAAAACACTACGGCACCCCCCCTACGAACGCCGCCACCCCCGCTACCAACACCTACAAGTCTAGCACCTTTCCCCCTACCAACACCAACACCACTTCACCCCCCCTAGCACCCTGCCACCCCACCTGGTGATCTCGTCTTCCCGGTGCACGTAGCACGATGGCGTCTGCGGCACGGCCCCGCTGACCTCCGCCAGGGTGAAGGGCTTCAACGCCACTGCGGCGGCGTCGACCCCGTCGAGGTGCTGGTCCGCCAGGAACACCTCCCGGGACTCCTGGTACTCTGACTCTTGCTGCTGCTCGTCGGTGGGGTTGGTTGGTTAGCACGACGACAAAGGGGGAAGAACGAAAAACGCGGCGAAATTAAGGTCCGGTCGGTTTCCCGTCAAATGAACAGACGCGGAACGAACGAAAGGGCACACAAACGCGGCGGAATTGAGGTCTGGTCGGTTTGGACCGGCCAGGCGGGAGTCCCCGTCCGATAACAAAAGGGGAGTGAAAAGGCACATATGCCGTATGCCACCACCGCCAACAGCAAAAACAGCTTGCGTGCTGTGAGTGCTACGAGCATCGCAGGCACCTGAATATCTACCCCACCATCATATCCCTGACCAGACCAATGCCTCTGCTTTCAACAGCAACAACAACAGGTATGCAACGAGCATCTTGCAAGCATCTGACTACGGTAGTGACATGACACAAGATACAACACCCCCTGGACCGATTTCGACTTCTCGGCAGGAAAACCAGTGACGGTGCCGAAAACAGCGGCACAGGAACCGTCTTGTCGAGCGCTTTCCGGAAGCACATCCCTTGATCTCGGCATCCTCTTCGTCGTGGAGTAATCGAGCTTCGATAATCGGTCCAGGGTAAGAGACGTCGGACAGCCATTTACAAAGAAAATAGAACAGGGAGGGGGTACGCAGACAGACCCCACCCTAACCCCAACCCCAACGCCCCCAATTGCATACATTGTCCAACACGTTCACTTAGTCGAAAAATCCTGCGAGGGCTCCAGGTGATATCTCGTGCAAACCTGCAGCATCTATCACATCCCGTTCGACCGTGGGTGTATCTCGAATGGGCAGTCTTTCTGTGTGTATATTTTATTTTTTCTTGTAGTCTCACCATCATGGCCCTGAGGTTGGAGCGTTGCCTTCTCGGCCGGGGCTCGCCGCCGTTGGGGGTAGCCGGGATTTGCACCGGGATCGGACTGGCCTTGTACGATTCATCCATCGTATGGCTGTTGTCCAGCAGCGCAAGCACACATCCAGAGAGCACACACGGGAGAAGCGGAAAGCAGGTGAATGACCAAAATACTTCAAGACAAAAACGCCTCGTGGGAATGGAGGGGGAACGCTGGGGTTGGTGGTTGAAGAAGCTTGCCAGGCCAATTAAAGCAGCAGCAGACGCATTGGTTTTTGAAGAAGCTCGCGAGGGTAATGAAAATAGCAGCGGCAACAGCAGTCAGTCCGAACGATTAATTCGGCCTAAGCTAGATATCTAGGACGAAATACAGCGATACCCTTCAGGACCGAGGACCGGTGTTGGTGGGAGGAGGGAGGTACTGCATGACCCTCCGCAGAAAGCCCCGCATCTCGCATCTGCCATGCCAGACCAATCCCCCCGCACTACTTGTGTGGTATGTATGACGTTCTGACGTTCTTCGGGTGCTTTCTGCGTGTCCCCCAACAAGAAAAACACACAAAAAAAATCAAAAACTCACTTTTGATCACGATCGGCTGCGACAGCCGGTCGGGGAGACCATCTCGCGTCCTTTGGTGACCAGCGTGGGGGTTGGTACGGACGGCCAGGCAAGCAAGCGGCCCGAAATCATCCCGGTTAGCACGACGATGGGGTTGGGTACAGACGACTACGCAAGCAGTAGGCGCAAAATGATGCCGGTTAGCACCGTGTGGATGGGTACAGAAAACAGAAAATCGAAGCAAGCGGCCCAAACATGATGGCGGCGGTCTTATCACGGCTGGATGGATACAGAAAACACAAGTCCCTGGAAAGCGCCCAAGAGATCCCGGTCACCGCGGAGGATCGGCTACAAAAGCCACCAACGGCGACACAGACGAAATACAACACAAATGCTCATTCCACATGTCTCGTATGCACAACTCTGAATAGTGCCACGTAGTGTGTGTTTGTCCGGGAAAACACCGGCCAAATCCCTTGACATAACTACTGCTGCTGCAGCATTCCAGAATATCTGGACACCTACTGTATATGTAGCAAAAATGACAATCAGCCAAACACCATTTTACGTCCGACGGCGCAGCCACGCGCACGGCCAGCGCGGCCGAGTCCACGAAGACGGTTATTCTGCGGACACGTACGCACCTTCGCAGGGGGCGGATTCGATTTAGCGTAGGGAGATAGAATGGCGAACAGAGCGTTGGACTCGTTTGGCGTGCAGCCCTCGAAGTCGACCGTGTCCGTCGAGAACCTATCAAACGGATTGCGGGTTAGGGTTAGGGCTAGCATTGTTAGAGATACGGCTGGTGCTGAGCCTTAACGTTAGGGCAAGAGCCATGATAATGCCAGCGCGAGTGTTGGTATTAAAAACAGGGTCAGCGTTTAGATTTAATGCTAGTGTTAGGGTTAGAGCAAATGCTTAGAGATGGCGATAGTGATTTGTTAAGCTTACCGTCGCCGTACATGCTACCGCCAGGGTCAACAGTACTGCCTGTTGGAGCTAGATAGATTAGTCAGGATACGGCAGCTGCTCCCGCGGACGGAGGAGAAGGGAATGGCAAGGAGACCTTCTCCTAGCACGCCACCACAGCGCTCGGTTGATTTCCGCTTGACAATTTCCGTCCTCGTTGTAGTTGGGCCGCATGCGCCATCACAATGACTCAAAACAGCACACAGCCACCAACACTAACAGCAACAGCAACAACAACAACAACAACAACAACAACAACAACAACAACAACTCTTAGTTTTCGAGCCAAGGCTCTTCCACCCCTCGACAATCTTTGCGTGCACACACTAGGCTGTGTACAAGAGACGGTGGTGGCAAGCCGCAGTGTGCAACAAGGTCACCATCTTACCATCCACCGCCTATCCCCCTACATGTATGCTGTCCAGGACGAGTGGCCAATGGTATTAACAACGAAGGCATGCAAAACATAAGCACGCCGCCCCCCCAAAAAAGGTCGCACCATCACCAACAAGCCTGACCAGTAACCTTCGCAAAAATGTAACTTGGTTTTAGAATATAGGCGGTACAGGGTTAGGGTTACAATGTGGGGAAGGGATAGGAAGGTCCCCACTCTCAATCATGGATAAAAAACTTATATCTTCGCGAAGACGGTCCAACCTACTCCATCGAGCAACGCGAGCCCCGCGAGCCCCGCTCACCTCAACCGTATGGTCAGCCGCGGGTCCGGCACGTGGTTGGTGAGCCGCCATGGGCCACTCGGCGACTGACCGCCGGTGCTTTCTCTCGACGAATAGATTTCCGAAGGGGGCACCCCAAGCGTTACCTGAGAGGGCGCACAGACACGGCAAGAAGCACACAGCAGTATAATGGTCGATACATACGTCGCCACGCACAACGTAGGCGACACAAGATAACATCCCCCCTGGACAGGTGTTCACGGCCCGATTTCTCCACAACGGACCAAGTGGCAGCGCCGAAAACGGCGGCGTTGAAGCTGTCTCCTCGAGAGCTTTCCGAAAACATATCGTTTCGTTTGTGTATCCTCCTCGTCGTGAAGAGCAATCGACATTTGAACACCGGGGGGGGGGGGGTATCTTGTGCCACCTACGGTAAGGAAGCTGTTCCGTGCCCTGAAACACCTTCGCAGCTGCCGCGAGACAAAACTACCAGGAAGGCGACGTGGACAAAAGCTGCTTTGTGGCATTGCTAGGGTAACCGCAACAACTTACGCATCAAGACCTGTGTGCTGTTACATACCGTTGAGAGGTTGGACAGGGACTGGCTAGTATAACCAGCTACAAGCAACGCATCGAGTCCAAGACCCACAGCTGCTGTGTGCTGCTACATGCAAGCTACAGGTTGGGAAGAGACTTTGGGTAGGATAACCAGCTACAAGCAACGCATCGACTACAAGACCCACTGCTCCTGTGTGCTGCTACACACCGCCAAGAGGCTGGCCACCGGGTGGACAATCTTCTTCCCGATGAAGTTTCTAACCGAAGCCTTGGCGTTCTTGACCAACGCGAACTCCGTCTCCGTCTTGTTCATCCAGACCATCCTCTCCTGCGGCCTGCCCTTGTGCGGCGGATAGTATACAACCTACACATCACAGAACAAACAAGCGGAGAAGAAGGGGCAATCAAGAAGGGGTGGTCATGAAATGAATGCCGTCGTCGTTGGACCAATGACCTCGCATCCCTACAACGCCGGGACGGAGCGATATGCCTGGTTTTCGCGGGCCCAGGCTACGTTTCACAAGGATGTACCAGAAGCTGGTCATCATCCTTGCGTTCGCTGTGCCAAGAGCGAGGGGGTTGAAGAGAGGTTTAGGGCGTGAGTTTGTTCGTTGGCTGCAATC